TAATATGTCCATTAAGTATGGAAGGGTAACAATATATGGATTAACAACTTCTTTATGACACTGTACGTCCATATACTGTTATGCATCCATCGTGCTCCAACTTGTAGATGCCTCTCAAAGAAATTGTCCATGAAATAGAAGGACATGGATGTTGTGATCACGTGAAGGGGTGGAGAATCTTGGTCTACCACTTCGGAGGATCTTGGGATGACTTGAGGCAGATAAACCTATTCAATATGGTGCTCTGGTGCACTGAACTCATCTGTCCTTCACTTGAGGAAATGTCAGCACACAACTATAGCAAACATTTGACTAGTTCCTTTAAGTTTCTGTTTCTGTTTTTTATTCATTTGTATGTTTTTGTTGTTTTTGAAGAGTCTGTGAATAGTCTATGAATAGAAAAGGACATCAGGAGAAACCTTCAAAATATTGAATTAATTTAGAAAGAAACCAAATAGTGTAGACAAATCATGGACATAAAAACCCGAATCACCCGAGAACGTCAAGTTAATTTGTGGCGAATTATAAGAACGTGGATTGTTGTTGTATTGGCCCGCAGAAGGCGGACAACGTTTATTAACTTTTAATGAAAATATGATTACCGTAATAATAAGATGTATGTAACGAATAGGCCACAACGGTGGGGAAGCTTGTGGCAAAAAAACATACAAAGGTACAGAGAAAGAGAGGGGGAGACTAGGAGGAGGTGTTTTTAAATTCCTGTGCAGAGATACGATGTAGCATCGAAGCTGGCCTGAATTGAACTGAGCAGCACTACGAAATGGCCGAGATACGTCAGAGAATGACGTCACAATTTACGTCACACCCGTAAAGAAGGCGTAGACATAAAATATTCGTTTTTCTTATAAAATGAATTTTTATAAAATGCTGCATTTGTTTTAACTGTTCAGAAGCTTGAAAATCTAAAAGTACTTGAAGTCAGGTCAGTTTAACCATCAACATAAAATGCATTAAAACATTTATTTCACCTGAGTCACAGAGCGTTTGCGCAGCGATAAGGTTGAAGCTACGAATAGCTTAAACATAAGGTCAGTGTGTGAAAGGTGTCATGAAACATATTTACTCAGTTATCTTTGGAGAAGAACGAGATGTACCTCACTGGTGGAATATATAAAGACAGTGAGTAGCGGGAGCTTTGAAGCTACAGTAGTGTTGCATGTAAAGTCATCTTGAATTAACCGTTAGCCCGTGCCACGTAGAATCATCCCAGCCTTCAATGATCGGCCAGATGTTTGACGGGAGTTAAAGTTTTCATGTTTTTATAGTGAGTGAGTGAGTGAGGGAGTATGGTTTTACGCCGCTTTTAGCAATATTCCAGCAGTAATATCACGGCGGGGTACCAGAAATGGGCTTCACACATTGTATCCATGTCTGGAATCGAACCCGGGGCTTCGGCGTGACGAGCGAACGCTTTAACCACTAGGCTACCCCACCGTCCCTCGTGTTTTCATAACATGATTTAGTAGAATGACATTTAACATTTCTGAGGAAACAGTTCAGTATAGTTCCATGCGAGATATATATTTTCGGGAAATTTCCGAAGCAGTGTTACGTATTAATAAATAAGAAAACAGTCAACTTGCTTATCAACTCAAAGCTCCAGGTATGTAAATCATTGTGTGCTTAGATTTATGTTATCCGAGTGTTGTTACCAGGCCAACTTGTTCACATCGTGTGTGTTTAATAATAGTATATTTTTTTTATTAAAGTGTCATACACACAAGTACATTTTACAGACAATACATTATGCAACAGTAAAAACCGTGCGTCGAGTCACAAACTGGCTTATGAGACTCTAAAAACATATATACGATAAAAAAAATATATGAATATAAGATGTACATAAATCATGACAATGACATTTCTCATCTTTAAAAACATTTAGAAGTGAAGAGGCTAAAATATACCCATGCCAAAAATGGTTGTCACGCCCTTCAATTTTTTTTATTGGAGAGGAGGGTGGGGGTTGGGGGGGGGTGACAACCATTATTGGCATGAGTGTATTTGCTTTTTTGTCTTTCAAAAAAAAAAATACTTGTCGGTATCATCTAAGTTATGAAATAGATGGTTACATTTAAAGGCAGCTTCAAACAGGATAAAACGTAAATCCTCATAAAAATTAAATTTCATTAAAAAAATAAATTCATCTTCAGCTATATGTACCTGGGAATCATTAGCATTTATAATACAAAATTTACAATGCTTTTGTAAAAGAGGAACAGGGGGCTTGGCATATCTGCCGGTTTCCATGAACAAGTATGAAATACCACATCTAAATTTGGATCTCTAAACTTTAATTGGTAACATAATTTTCAATGAAGGGTGTGTCTTAAAACAAATGACAGGTGTGTCTTTTGGAGTCTTTATTTTTGAAAGAAGATTTTGTGCTATTTATGTCCTATTTTGTATCCATTTCCTTATGTATGAATTCATAAAACAAAGTACCCGTGAAGGTTCGGGTTAGAATGAACCTTCAGTAACCCATGCTTGTCGTAAGAGGCGAATAACGGGATCGGGTGGTCAGGCTTGCTGGCTTGGTTGACACATGTCATCGGTTCCCAATTGCGCAGATCGATACTCCTGCTGTTGATCACTGGATTGTCTGGTCCAGACTTGATTATTTACTGACCGACGCCATTTAGCTGGAATATTGCTGAGTGCGGCGTAAAACTAAACTCACTCACTCACTCTTAAAGCAAAGTAAAAGCATTCGTTGCGGCTTTTTGTTCTGAAAGTTCGACTTCGATTCGATCTACAGTATCCTTCAGCATGTTAAGACTCTCACCCCACAAGAAGTTCCAGGTAATCTGGACATATTATATTTCGGTGCACTGACGTTGCTTCGCAGGGATAGGTAGAACGGATGGCCATAGATCAGCGGAGGCTCTCAGTCAGTTGAACAGCTCTGCTCAGTTAACGGACAAAAACCGTGAGTGAGTGAATGAGTTTAGTTTTACGCTGCACTCAGCAATATTCCAGTTATATGGCGGCGGTCTGTAAATAATCGTGTCTGGACCAGACAATCCAGTGATCAACAGCATGAGCATCGATCTGCGCAATTAGGAACCGATGCAAGAACCGAGAGCGTTTGTTAAATCTAGGTGGTGCTGCACAATGGCGACACATGTTTGATAGTGCTCTTCGGTGATGCTGTCGTTTAATCGTTGTTTTGTTGAAAGTATTTTAACTTTTTCAATTCAATGCTGGTATGGCTCTTTAAATTTCAAAAGCAAATCTTATGTTTAAAAAATCATTTTAATTCCAAGTAAAATCTCTGGGGTGTCTGTTTCGGATTTATCTTCTCATTTTAATTCCCGTGTTCTTAATCTCGCTGAGAGAATTTTATCTGATTCCAGCCATGTTTTATTTTCTGAATATAATCTTTTACCTTCAGGCCGCCGATACCAAATGCCCCGTTTTAAAACAAAAAGGGTTCAAATTTCTGTTATTCCAGCAAGTATCCGCCTTCTAGATGACTGTTAACTTTGTCTGTCTATAGTGTTGTTTTGTGTTTTCTTAACCTTATGTCATTTTTAACATTGAATTATGTGACCACTTTCAAAGGTAAAAAGAATTCCCCTAGGGGTAATAAAGTATTGTCATTGTCATAAATCCCCAGAAGCGCCTGTAAAATCTACCCGCATCGTTGTCGAGCAATCAAGGGACACAACTCGTGTAGGTATATCTTTTCAATTCCCTCGTTGACCTGAGTGGTATTAGCTGAAACAAGGGAGGACGGGGGTTCGGGTATCAACAAAGTTCTGACACTATTGGTTTGGGGGTGGGGTGGGGGTGGGGGATTGGATTAGGTGTGTCTGTGTATGGAATTAATGCAAAGCACAAACAGGACTGAGGATTTACCAAGGTATGAATTCTCATGTCGGATGTCTGATTTGTGAAAGGGCTTGAAGTAAATCCCAATATGTTGTTGTATGATACATACAAAAACACGTTGTCGCATGAGTGAGTGAGTGAGTGAGTGAGTGAGTGGTGAGTGAGTGAGTGGTTTTGTGCCACTTTCAGCACTAATGCAACAATATCTCCGCGAGGTGAACCAGAAATATCCTTCACAGACTACCCACTTCTGGAATCGAACCTGCACTTCATTAAGGGAGAACGATCAAAGAGTTAAACGTAGCGACATTTTAGCGTCATGACGTCGAACGTTTCATAGCATTGGACTTCAATTGACATACAAACATTACATTAACAATTTTTCTGTGGTTTTTCAGCTTTTTATTTGTTTCATGTTATGTCTATTTTACAGAAAAGCAAAAACAAACAACTTCTTAATGTTGCATAATGAGTGTATGCCATGGTAACCAAAATGGTTGAACTCCCACACATGATTGCTGTATCTTTGCTGTATCAAAGATTTCGCTGCTTAATTTCATTCTTGAAGGTCTAGAATAGGCCTTCATTGCATTTCACGTAAAGAGTAGGGGCGGTGGGGTAGCCTTGTGGTTAAAGCATTCGCTCGTCACGCCGAAGACCCGGGTTCCATTCCCCACATGGGTACAATGTGTAAAGCTAATTTCTGGTGTCCCCGCCGTGATATTGCTGAAATATTGCTAAAGCGGCGTAAAACCATACTCACTCACGTAAAGAGTAGTTGTTCGGAAAGAATAGTTAAAAGATTAATGGATCAATATTTCCTTTTTGATAGCCAAGCAATACATGTCGTTTGATGATATTTACTTCAATTAGAGCGCTAGTATCTAGATAATTTAAGAAACTACAATGTATTGACCTTTATATTTCATTTCTTTTGATGTGGATGCGAAATACATATATGACACTATACTACGTATACATTCCTCAAAATATCAAAATGTCACTAAAAGTGCATCGTGACACGATCCTGTTGCACCGATAACAGATCGGTGTTTGAATAGTACAACAACATGCAACGTAATCATTAATATACTGATGTACAAAAGAAAGTACACACCTGTTTGTTTTGAAACTTTTAAAACAAGGTAAATATTTTGCTGGCAATGTTCCAATGGGGTACGATATATATGGTGTTATTGCAACACGTATACAATGTTTGTGACTTGTGAGTCGCAATCAAAACACTTTTGTAAATATTACGCTGTTTTCAGGAAAACATTTCACCAAAGCATCAGGTGTGTACTTTCTTTTATACGTCAGTTTAGTCAAATCTATTTGTGATATGCAGGTGGTGTGACATCTGTAAGGTGAATAGATATAACACCACAAAGATGATAGAATAGAAGGACTCAAAGATATTACTTTAGTACAATGGGTTTTTTTAAAAAAGCAAAGACGACTTAAGTAACGCTCCCTCAGATAACACTGGTTATATCTTGGGTCATCTATGCTAAACATTCAGAATACACAGTAATTACCCGTTTGATAATTATGCTAATTAATAACGTCATCTATACTAAACACTCAGATTAATAACGTCATCTATGCTAAACATTCAGAATACACAGTAATTACCCGTTTGATAATTATGTTAATTAATAGCGTCATCTATACTAAACACTCAGATTACACAGTAACTACCCGTTTGATAATCCTGTTTATTACATGTTGTGTTCATCTGGAACCTAATAAAAAACACTTCAAAACAGTCACTGTCTTCCTTTTATTGAAATTGAAACATCCAAGACGTCGTAACAACTGTCCTGCTTTCGAAAATGGAAGATGGAAAACTATTCGAAAATGTAATCACGATGCAAGAACGACATATGAAGTGAAATCTGCCATCTGTAAAGATTCCAGGATTTGAATCACAACGACCCAGACACCACCCTAGATCTGTACATTACTAGGCATGATTAAAATGTGTTTACTCCCAGCACAAGAATGTATGTCCGCAAACCTCGAAAGTCTGCACAGTAATAAAAACCTTCCTAGTCGCACTCACTCACTCACTCACTCACACGCATGCTTAACACTCATTTTACGGACGCACGCACGCACGCATTCAGGCTCTCATTCACGCACGCACGTACGCACTCACTCACGCACGCACGCACTCTCTCACGCATGCTAAACACAAGGGCTTCCACGGGTACTCGAGTACTCGAGGACGAGTCGGGTTTAGCTGGACTCGAGTCCATTTTCAAGGACTCGAGGACTCGAAAAGGGGAGATAACTCGAATTATTGACGTTGACGGACTGTCTGCCGTGTGCTAAGCATGAGCGGCCGTTAACGTCTAATATTAAGAAAAAGATATAACTTTATTATCCCGGAGGAAATTCTCATACATCCAAACTGTCTCAAAATGAATATATACACAGTGTACACAGTTCACAAAAATATACACAATAATTACATGCTCAAAACGAATGCTATTTACAAATAAAACTGACATGATATAATTCAATTAACCACATAGGTAAAGAGGCTGAATAATTCTAGTTCTAATCACATGATAATGATTCAAAATATTTGTTGCATTCACGAATACTTGATGGTATGAAAAACTGTCGAGCTCTGTTTTGGGGGAAGGTAATCGACAGCGCGTCCAGAAGGAAGTAGTTCAAAATGGTGAGATCAAATATGTCAACTATCAATTCTAAGTTTAGCTGCCTTTTTGACTATATTCGAAATACACTCCAGAAATTTTGCAAGCAGTATTAACAATTTTGAAAAGTCTGTTTTTGTTGCGATGAGACAGATCTCCATACCAACATAGAAAATTGTAGGTCAACACACTTTGAATAAAGGTTTGATAAAAAACTGTCATTACGGTTTTGTCAATGCCTTGACGATACTAATGTTCAGAATCAGAAATTAGGCCAGTAACAGTGGCGTCATCTGCAAATTTCACAGTAAACAAGTCATATCTTGACAAGTAACAGTCATTGGTATACAAAACGAAGCGTACGGATGAAGGAACACAGCCATGTGGATCTCCAGTAGAGGTTGAGAGAAAAGAAGATTGAAAGCCACTGACATACTGAGTTCTATGTACCCTGAATTCTTTAACCCATCTGATAATGTTTTTATTAACACCTAGATTAAATAGTTTACTCCTCACACGGTGTGGCTGTATGGTATTAGTTGTTACAAGTCTGCAGATGAGAGTAAATAGTATACATCGATTGAGAGTTCACTTCTTAAAATGATTAGGTAACTATCTTAACAATTGATCGTTGCTTGAAAGGTATGAATTTCGAGTGCTCGGGTCCGAGTCGGGTCTCATCCCTCGAGTACTCGAGTCCCCAAAAATGGACTCGTTGAAGCCCTACTAAACACTCATTTTACGGACTCACGCACGCACGCATTCAGGCTCTCATTCACGCACGCATGCACGCACGCACGCACGCTCACACACTGACTCACTGTTGTTCCAAACTGAATGGATGGGTACTGGTCAACAATGAAGTATTGTGTATTCACATAGCCTTGGAATCTACTGTATTATAAAAGTCTCTCAAATCACTCGGTTGATTAGATTGACATTTAGAGCAAACAATCTGTGATCATTAAACCAGTTCATCACAATGCCGATTGTAATAAAAAGACATTATCTAAAACAAGTTTTATCATGATGAGCATTTTTAATAATGAAAAGGTCATTGTATCATGAGTGAACTGAGTGTAACGCCGCTTTGATAATTATTTCAGTTATGGGGGTGGTGGGGTAGCCTGGTGGATAAGGCGTTTGCTCGTCACGCCGACGACCCGGGTACGATTCCCCACCTGGATACAATGTGTGAAGCCTATTTCTGGTGTCCCCCGCCGTGAAGTTGCTGGAATATTGCTAAAAGCAGCGTAAAACCAAACTCACTCACTGACTATTTCAGTTATGCAAGTGTCTGACAGATGCACGTGGAAGTAATGGTGAGTGAGTGAGTGAGTTTGATTTACTGCTGCTTGGAAAAGTGTTTTAGTAGCATCACAGTATGACAGGTTGATGAGGGAGCAAATTCCGAATTGATGAAAAACATGAGTAACAGTGAGTGAGTGAGTGAGAGAATGGTTTTACATCGCTTATTGTAATTTAGCAATATTCCAAAAATATTATGGAATGGACACAAGAAATGGGCTTCACACACTGTACCCATGTGGGGAACTGAACCCGGGTTTTAGGCGTAACGAGGCGAAGGCTTTAACCACTAGGCTACCCAACCGCCCCGACATCGATGAACCATATGTTTTAGTGGCACAGGGGCGGTGGGGTAGCCTAATGGTTAAAGCGTTCGCTCGTCACGCCGAAGACCCGGGTTCGAATCCCCACATGGGCACAATGTGTGAAGCCCATTTCTGGTGTCCCCCGCCGTGATGTTGCTGGAATATTGCTAAAAGCGGCGTAAAAACCAAACTCAGTCAGTCAGTTTAGTGGCACAGAGTCTTACTTTACTGGTCAATGGTGTGGCCTACTTCTGAAAGCGTTCGCTCATCATACCAAATGCCCGGGTTCGAGTCACCCCATATCTTGTATCCTCCTCTGTAAGGCGTCAAACCATGATAGGACCGTCAAAGAAGGACCATTCCCGATTACAATTTGTCAAAAGTGTGATCAAGATCCCGTGAATCGTGGCGGGAAATTCACAACTTTTATCTAATCACGACAACAACCAGATTTTCGTTCAGGACGCGCCCCGATTCAGCCCTTTCCAGCCGAATTCGTCCCGTTCTCAATCTGAATATGATCCAATTTGTATCTTCCGCATTTTAAAATACGACCGAATCTGTCCCGACAGGGTCCTGATTCTCCCGAATGCGAACCGACAGATATCCGAAGAAGAAGATGGAAGACATTCGGCAAGATCTGGGCGCAATCCGGACTCAATCAGCGTTATCAGAGACCCGGTTCAAAGACAACGACCTCAATTATTACGGTGTTATTGCGCGAGTGTGTTTATAGTTTTACGACGTTTGTAGCAATATTCGAGCATAATCTCGACAAGGGACACCAGAAATGAGCTTCACACATTGTAACCATGTGGGGAATCGAACCCGGGTCGAACGAACCCTTACCCACTAAGCTACGCCAGTCAGGATTAAGGAGGCCCCGCTGTGTTCACGGTTTGGTTGGTCATACATTGCTTTTGATCAGTTTTTAGTAATATTATGACGAGTTAATATCTTTTAGTACTGTTTACAGCTTTTAGCTACGTTTACAGCTTTTAGTTATGGTTACATCTTTTAGTTATGTTTACAGCTTTTAGCAATGTTTACCACTTTTAATTATTGTTACAGCTTTAAGTAATGTTTACAGCTTTTAGTAATGTTTACAGCTTTTAGTAATGTCTACAGCTTTTAGTTATGGTTACAGCTTTTAGTTATGGTTACAGCTTTTAGTAATGTTTATCACTTTTAGTAATGTCTACAGCTTTTAGTTATGGTTACAGCTTTTAGATATGTTTATCACTTTTAGTAATGTCTACAGCTTTTAGTTATGGTTACAGCTTTTAGTTATGGTTACAGCTTTTAGTAATGTTTATCACTTTTAGTAATGTCTACAGCTTTTAGTTATGTTTACAGCTTTTAGTTTTGTCTACAGCTTTTAGTAATGTTTACAGTGTTTAGTCAAGTTTACAGTTTTTAGTAATGTTTACAGCTTTTAGTTATGTTTATAGCTTTTAGTTATGTTTACAGCTTTTAGTTGTGTCTACAGCTTTCAGCAATAATATAATGGGTTGGGACAGCCTGCAATAGACTTCGCATTTGGTACCCTTGTGTGGACTCGAACAATGGACATTGGCGAGACGCGCAAACGCATTTCCTTCTAGATAAGCCGTAAAATCTGTCGAACTGAATAACAAGAGTTCGGTCAATGCGTCTTAACTGGGCGAAACCACCACAACAAGCTGGTAATTATTGATCTCTAACGTTACAGCAGAATCAATATAAATATTGTTAACGACATCACGTCATTGGAATCTTTCTGTCTCAAACCTTTAAAAATGTAACCAGAATGTCCATGTCACCGTTATATCAAACAAAAAAAGTACGATTTGTAATACCTTCTTTCAAGACGACCTTCACCTTCCGTTTCGCCTTCACCTTATCATCAGCGAAAAACGTGACACGCGACTGTATAAAATCAATTAAGCTCAAAAACAAGGCGTTATACAACCCACTGGATTTCCTAT